AAAAATTTTGGAAAGATGCAGTGTTGCCAGTTTTAAGTCAGTTTATAGAAAGCATCATTAAATGACTGAAACTTGGATGCTGCTTCCTAACTGCACTTTAATGTCTTAATTTTGGTTTTAGATGGTGTGTTGCTGCTGGAAAATCCAAAAGGAGATAATACCTTGAACTTCACTGGACTTGTAGATGCTGTATCCTGCATTTTTGGTCTTAAAAATTCAAAACTGACAGTTTTTAATGGAAACACAGGTAAATGGAGTGTGATAAGGGAAATTGAAAATCTTTCTAGCAGCAGCTGGGAGTTGTTTACTGTAGAATTATTTACTGTATAATTTATATATATCTATATAAAATTGACAAGAAAATGCATAAGGAAATGCTCTATTTTATAGTACTTAGCTTATGAGACTGTGTTTATAGTCTCATCAAAATGTTTCTAAAAGCTGCTGCTAAATGGTGCTCATCTCCTCTGTTTCCTTGCTTCCATTGCAGTTCTCATCAGGGCAAAATCTGATTCATTTCAGTGTTTCCATGGGGCCCAAGCTATGCTGTATATTGATGGCAAGTTGCCATCAGCTTTTCCATGGTTTTTTTTTCTCCTCCCCTAATGCCTCCGTAGGCAGGGTGAGAACTTAAGCTGAATGTAAACTGCTGTCTGTAGAAGTAAAATGTTGCTTTTCACCCTGGAGATACTTGAGGATCTCTGCATTTCTGCTTCCTACAAAAACCTAGCAAATATTTTTGCAGCTTGAACTTTGCCTCTGTTAAGGCAGGTGAACGTAAAATACCTTCTATGAATTATACATAGGCTGATGGCTGTGGCACAGTTTGGTTCGTTACAGAGGTAACAGCTGAAACACACCAAAAAGGTTGTGAAAGATGTTGCAATTAGTGGCTGTGATGCCCTAGCAGTAACTGGCATTGCCTCCCTCAGGGGAAGGGGCTGGTTTGCTATTGCATTATGTGTAGTATCTCAATACATCAGAAAGTTACAACTCGAAAATCTGCCCCTGAGAACATGTTTACCCTAATGACTGAACACTTTAGTGCAGAAGTGCAGAAACAGAGTAGTTACCAGTGGCCATGCTGAGATACAACTTCAGAGCTGGCTCAGCAGGAGTAGGGAGCTCTCTGTGTGCTCTTAGTCTTATTTACAGGCACATCCTGAAGGTCAAACTTGGGCTGTTTCTACACAATTCATAGCAAGTCTGAAATGAGTGACAGAGAAATGATGAAGTACTGCAGAAATGGTAATTGGACGTCTACAAAAATCTTTTGTTAGTATTTTTTCATAGAAATATTACTGAAGCACATCTGAGGGGGAGTTACTTTCACTGGATGTTGAGAAAAACTGGTGATCCTCAGCAGTCCCATGGGCACCCCAAAACAGTCTATGTCCACCAGTGACATCTGTAGGGGAGTAGTATTACTTGTCTCTGTAATGTCACTGTTACCATCTCTATCTTTAGTTTCCTTACTTGTCTTCTCCTGAAAGTGTTTCTAGAAGGATGTTTTGGGGGTTTCCCTATCTGATGTCACCCATTACCTTCCTACCACTAAACCTCTTTCAGGTTGTGCTCAGCTGAACTGAATCATCCTGTTACACAAAATTAGTATTCTTTTCTTCCAGTTATAGGTGATTTAGAGGAAACCTCACAGTATCTTCCTCAGCTTTCAGTTGTGTTTTAAAGGAGGAAATAGTTTTCCTTGAAAGCCTTTTCCAGATAGTAGGGATATACTTCCTTGCAGTGTGGTCTGCAAGGCAGAGGCAGGGATGTACTAATATTGGTCATTGACATCACAGATATTAAGAGATGACCTGCAAAAGGCCAAGAAGAGTTGGGAAACTCTCATCCCATTAGGTGTGCAAGCAGTTTGACTCCTTATTCAGTTTCTTTTCTGCCATTAGTAGAACAAAAGGATGCAGCATAAATCCATTAATGCTGAATTCCTAAAGGAATTAGTAAAGACAATGCAAACCTTCCCTCTTCCTTGGAGGTTCTCTTCTGCTGTAGTAACAAAGGCTTTATTCCTTTCTTTTCCACATCACTCTGTAGGGATCATTTGGGGACTTCCCATCTTGGAGTACTGATTTTAAACTTCCACTCTTTGTAAGTGCTCTGGGCAGTGCAGGGTTATTGTGGTTTTATCCTCTGCCCCCCTTTGTTAACAATATGGAAATTCCCATGGAAAGATTAGATTAACAAATTCACTTCTGTTGCAGTTTGTCAGAGATCTCAAACAAGTATTGATCAGCAGAAGATATGACTCCCTGAGGAGTTGGGGTTGAAGGCATGTGCAAGGAAAAGAGCTCTTAAAGCTGCCAGAGAGTAGAACTGGAATTCCTAATGTTTGCTTTGGATACAATCCATTTGCTTTATCTGCCCAACCTTTGCTTGGGTAACATTAGGTGAGGCCTGATGGTGATTCCAGGCCCTCCTAGGTGAGGCAGGGGTTGGTATCAGCCACTCTGTCCGAGAGGAATTGCCCAGGAAGGTCGTGCACTCCGGACAAGTTGTTGCTTTATTGTTCCCATGTGTGTTAATAAAATCATGCCCCAGTCAAACCACGTTTCTGGCTCCTTATTCCCTTCCTGTGGTTTTTAGGGCTGTCCACTTTCCTTGCAGTAATTTATGATCTTGTTTTCTAATTGTAATGAAGATTTACTTAGGGCTGTGTAATGGCATAGCACCAGGCAGTTCTTGGATGAAGGGAGGTTTGAGTCTGTCCTGTCCCTGGTTTTCAGTGCAGCACTGAAATAATGGGATAACCATTTCCTCCCCCAGCAGTGCATCGATGTATTTTTTGAGGAACTGCACAATCACCAGGCTAGGCTCTGGGATTTGTACTGACCTTCAGAGACACAGAACAGAATTAGTCTCTTTTAACAGCAAAAAAATTGAATCATTCAAAGGGAAGAGGCTGGGCTCAGATGGTAAAAACAGCTGCCTTTAATTTTTTTCCCCCCCTCTCTAGATTGCTGAAAACTTTTTAAACTTCCTATTGGGAATGCTTTGAGCCTTGCACTCTGCTTTCATGGAAGTAGCTCATATTGCAAAAGACCTATTTAAAAAAATTCAATGTGTTTATGGGAATAAATGAATCTGTAAATCATGTGGGGCATAAAAAAGCAGAGGGAAGGGAAGGTGAGGCAAAATCCCCCTACAGACTTCCTAGTCCATGTCTGATTTCATATTTATGATTTTCAGGTTGCTAATTTTTCTTAATCCTATTCTTAGCACTGTTTTCCGAACAATAGTGCCAAAAAGGGTTGTGGTTTTTGACTTTTCAAAGGCCATGAGGCAATAAAGCACCTTAGGAGAGCATTACCACTCAGACTTCAGCTGCAGGGAGAACTGGCTTTAAAAGTGATTTTAATATTGATGAGCATTTGTAATATCTGCTGCTTTCAGTCGGGGGTTATATAGGAAGAAATGATCCACTGTTTTTCTTCTCTGGCTCTTGTTAGAGGGTTCCATGAACAGACTCCACTGACAGCACTGTGCATGAGCTCTTCCCTGGGAAATGTCAGCAGTCCTGTAATGCCAAATGCTAATTTGTTCAAGAGCAAACCCCCATTACTGCAGCTCATGCCCCGTTGCCCTGCATGGATCTGCATGGATCCTGGCAGCTGGGGAATGGCAAACTGGAAGTTATTGGAGTGCAAGTGTTTGTAGCCCTGTAAGCACCCTGCTCACTAGGGCTCTCTACTACCACAGCCCAGAAATTGTGCTGCTTTAAGGTTCTGCTGAGGAAACTCAGTTCCTGGCTCCTCTTCCATGGGATGAAATCTTGCTAATTCCTCTCCGCTTGCTAATTCAGTACTTTTCTTGCTTTCCTGCAAGCAAACCCAAAAGCCAAACCCCCTTCTGTGCCTGGCACCTCAGGCACACTGGAACAGTGCTGGGGCAGCTGCTGGATGGCCACCAGCATCTGTATGTCTTTGCTCCTGGAAACTGAATTTTAGAAGCAGCAGTGAAGTCTTGCCTAAAGCTTTATATATATTCTTTGATACATATATGAATGTTGATATTTAAAAGGAGCATTTTAGAATCCTAGGTGCAGCCTGAGGTCTTGGTGCTTCCTCAGAGCAGTCTTGTGAGCCTTCCACAGTGCATTGTGCTCTGATGTTCTGTGGCACTTGGCAAAATTTGCAGAGCTTGTAGCTTGGGATTGCTGTTCACCTTTCGAGGGTTTGTTGTTTTTATTTCTTTGAGGTGAGTGCTTGGTTTGGGGGAAAAGTAGTGGGACTTGTCCCTCTGAAATTCATTCAGGGGAACCGATAGAAAATGGGATTTTAAAGCTTGGGCTTCCTGACATGGAATAGGGCTGATATGGAATGAAGGCCTGAGGGACAGAGATGACAGATGTGCCTGTTCCATATGTACAGAAATACACAATACTTAGATTTATTAATTCTTCCTAGGTTTGATCTTTGGAGCTCTTTGTAGCAGAAAGTGATGTTATTCCTTTGTATTTTTTATGCTGTGCCCATCAGCAGCTGTGTTTGACCTCAGGGCTCAGGCAGTGGTGCAGAATGCAGCCCTACAGACCTCATAGCACAGAAACTTCCTTGGTTTCTCAACCCAGTGCTTCCAGGGCACTGGTGTTGCTTCAGAGACTCCTTGAGACAGAGCTCCTGTTAGGGTCTGATCTAGGCACAAATGCCTGGCTGGAGTTACCTGCTGAGCCATGAGCTGTGCACACAGGTGTTTGTGGAGGGCACCAGCCACCACTGCAGTCAGTGGCTTCTGAGAACAAGATATTTCTGCACCAATTCCTTTTTCCCAAACAGAGCAAAGCTGTGAGGAGGAGGTGCTCCCGCAGTGGAGTGAGGAATGAGAAAGCCTTATTGTCAGCCAGAGGAGTGAGAACTGGGCCTCAGCCCCTGTGCTGGCCTGACTGGTCTCGTTTTCTGTTCCAGAACTGCTAAACAAAACAGACTTGCTGAGCCTGAGCGGAAAGACTCTGCAGGTGACAGCAGGGTCAGCCCCTGCGCTGATCAGCGCTGCCGATGCCCTGCTCTGCCAGTATATCAACTTGCAGCTCATGAATGCAAAGCCACAAGGTATGTGGGGTACTGATCTCTCCTCACTTATAGACAGCTTTCTGATGAAGTTTTGGCCATGTTGCTTGCTGCTGAGGGGAAGTACATATATTTTCATTGGTAGACAGTGATTTTGTTTATTTTTTGCCTAGTATTTGCTTTCTGAGACAATGTTTATGTTTAGCTTTTCTTTCTTTTCCTAAGAGAAAAAGGAGAGCCAGTTTGAGATAAGGGACAGCAGTTAAATATGAACCCTTGGGCATTGTTTTCTGGTTTCTGACCATCAGCTCATCTTATTTTAAAAGGCTGAGTCTCAACCACACCAAAACAGAATGAAGTGCCAGCTCTTTCTTTCATTGGGAACAACCTGTGAAACATTTCTTAGTGCTATTTAAAAGCCAAATGAATTGTATTATTAACCTGATCTGGAGTATAGAGAGGTATGTGTGTATCATTCTGTTTCACAGCTGCTAATCTTGTAGCTTCTCTCTGAGAGCTCATGTTGGAGCAGCTGTGTTGTTAGTAACTTGCCTTAATCTCTGCCCTGGTCTGAGACCTTTCTGCTCTATCCATGTGGAATTCTAAGGACATTACAGGAAAACTTCTGGGGCCAGAAATGTGGTTTTTACTAGGGATTTGATCACCAGAAGGTGCTTTGTGAACCTCTGCACTTCTTAGTGGTTTCTGTCCTGTGACAATATTTCTTGGTTCCCAAGCTCTGGGTTATCCTGTTGACCCACAGAAAGAATTCTGCAAAATTTTCTTCTGTTAGTCAACTGTTGATCACCACTTACACTTTTGATTCACAGACTGACTTAGTGAGTATCTGTAGGTTGGTATTGCTAATTTCTCTTTCAGTACTATTCTATTTGTTCATGAAATAGAGATGAAATGTAAGAAGAAATCCTAAATTTCAATTTACGAAGATAAATGAAATAATCTGATTCCTCACCAATAATGACTCAGCTGTTTATCTTGTCCAGAATGTCAGAAAGGAACCGTGGGAACTCTTCTAATGGAAAACCCTGTTGGTCAGAATGGATTAACATACAAAGGTCTTCTACATGAGACAGCTAAAGTGTTTGGACTCAGAAGCAGGAGGCTAAAATTGTTCCTGGATGAAGCACTAACTCATGGTAAGCACAAACCTTTGGTTTGCTTGTCCAAGGAGACTTGGAAGTTTTTGCTGAGGAGCAGCTCATGTAACCTTAGATCCAGTGTAATTACTAAATGCACACTATTCACGCAGTGCTTTCCAATTTTGTCCAGTACTTCAATATTTATTTGATAAAATCCTTTAAGCACATGTATGCATTTAGAAATTCAAAGCTCTAATGCATTCCCTTCATGAAATGGCTAAGACAAGGTCTATAAAAGCTTCTTCCTTCTGCAGTAAAGGTCAGTCAGCAGTGGGAATGGTAGTGACATGCTGCCGTGACTAAGCAGAGAGTGAATCTCCCCCAGTAGTGAGTGAGTGAGTCTCAAGTATGAATATTTTAAGAACCTGTTCAAATTGTTCTTGTAACATTCATACTGCTGCAGTGTCTTCCTTTTGGAGAATTGGAGTGGGTGGAAAAGAGTACTGGATGTGTGTTAGAGCAGTGTTGAGCAGGTCAGACTCAGCAGGGTATGGCAGCTGCTGTTTATTCCAGATACCTAGGAGTGGGGAAGCTTTAGCACATAGTCACAGATCTGAAATGCTAAAGATGTTTCCAAAACCACAGCCAGATGGTGAGGCTGAGAAACAAACCTCTCCAATTCATGAGGAAGATGTGACTAAAACTGTAGCCACCTGTAGTGCTAAAAAGTTGGACCTGAGAGATTTGGGACTTCCTTTGACAGGAAGATTGGCTTGGAAACTACATGGTAAAAACCCCACACCTCAAAATAGGTATTTCTGTGTATTCAGGAGAATTCACCTCTTCAAATGAGGTGATGCAGAGGTTCTCTGTGCAGTGTGTGACAGTGACATGGTCTGCAAGCTGTTTGGGAGGGACACATGACACTTACCCTTGGCTTATCACATGTTGGGTGACCTGTTCCTGAGGTTGGACATCTGCTTAACCCTGGCCATGCAGTCATAGGATGGGATGAGTTTCCTCAGGAGGAGCAGGAAGCTGTGGGGTTGTTGGTTGTGGATCTTGGTTGGTTGTTTTAATTTTTCATTTAATCTGACCTGAACCGTTTATTTTAAAGCCATTTTTGTAACCAAAATGGATCTCAAAAGTATAGTAATAGTTGGAGCTAATGCCACAAATAATGTGCTGAATGGTGTAAACAAACAGAACTGGAGCCTGTAGTGTTTAGAAACAAAAAGTGTGTATGTGTGCGACCTTGGGCTGGGGATTCAGTTGCTGAGGAGCAGCTGATGTTATACAGAATTCCTTTCTGGTTCCTGTCACTGTTACAGCAGTTCATGATTTAGTTCAGATACTAAAATAACTACTGTAGAAAAATTGAGAGCTTTGAAAGAGTAACTGACAGGACAGGAAAACATGCAGCCTTTAAGGCTCAGTTTATGTGAGGGTTTTTAAAATGCCTTTACCTGAAAGGAAGATGAGTTGAGCCACTGCAACATTTGTAGTATGAATTTTCCAGAACTATTTAAAGTTTAATTCAGGTGTATAGAGTGACAATTCATAGCCATGTGAAAGATCAGATTTGATAACTGTTCCAAGGCCAAAGAACAGATTTGGTCTTTCTGGACTCAGAATATAGAGAACTTGATGCTGGAGGTTAATTTGTGTGGCTTGTGCCATATAGCCACACTTCTGTCTCAGAGGTAATCCTCATCATGCAGCTCTCTTGAGAATGTTTTTTTATTGTTTAAAACTGAGGTCCTGGTACTTTATCTTGGCGTCTCTTTATACCATAAATAAGTGCTGTACATAAAACAAATACTTTGATGCCTTTTAGAAAACATTAGGTCAATTAATGTTTATCTGTGTTGTTGCAGCTTTGTAATCCCTGATTCATCTTCTAATCAATCTACTGAAGGTCCAGCCTTCAAAACAAAAAAATTCAGTCTCTTGAGTAGGTTTTTTTATGGTTTATTCTAAAAATAAAAGCTATTTGCTGCTAACCATTTGAAACATTTAATGAAAATGACCCATGGATTGGAGGGTTGGTTTCTGTTTTATAAAATGGAAAAAAATCGTTCGGTGGAAAATGAGTTATTGGTTTTGAAAAGGTTATTTTGATAAATGTTATTGGCCCAGGCAGTTGGGCATGTGCTGTCTGTTGCACAAAAGCTCTCCAGCTTCTCATATGCAAGTGTGGCTTTCACTGCCCCTTTGTAATGTTGGAGAAACATTCCACAAATAAATGTCTAAGTGGTGAATGTTGCTGATTCGTGAGCTTGAACAGGAGTTCCAGGTACCAGATTCAGAGCAGCCTGGGGATGTCAGAGATACTTCATACGCGCCCTGCAAAGCCTTCCCAGGAACTGGCACAGGAAGGAGCTCCTTATATTTTGTTCATAAATCAAGTTTGCAATTTCTAAAAGTAATTATTGAGCTAAGTACTGATGAAAATAGTAGCTTCGTGTAGTTCCTAATTTTTCAGGATCTTAAAAATAAATATTTATAAGATAGTTGGAGGCCAAGTTCATAGCTTGTTTGGCTGCTTCTGCAGAGCAAACTAACTTTTTTACATCCTAATGGAACATGTTCTTGGGGAGGAAGGAAGGTTAGTGAGGGAATAAAGCCCTAATTGTTGAATTGGATTAGCTCCACTCTCACAGCTCTCTAGAAGGATATGAGCTGCTTAAAGCAGAGTACCACACTGGAAGAGACCTCCTGAAAAACAGTGCCAGTAGGATCCATAAGGACTTTTGAATTCTTTAATTACTAGATGGCTTTAAACCTCAGTGCAGACTCCATCTGCTCAGTCTGAACATGAAATACTTTTCCAAGAAAGATGAGGGCCCTAGTGCTAGAAGGCACATGCATGGCGTTACATGGGAACAGAACTCCTTGCTGCCATTTCTGGAGTCAGTTTTCACTTGGCCATCATGGTACTGAAAACTGAACTGCTCTTACATGATCTCCATGGCTGCACCAGTGACTCAACTCCCCCACACGCTGCCACGGCCTCTGGGCTAGAGCCAGTGAGTATGGGCCATGAGGTGTGTGCCCCAGTGCAGGGCACTGCCCCCAGCCACCCTGGCTGTGAGCAATCTGTCCCTGCAGCCAGGAGGGGATGGCACCTTCCATTTGCTGCGGTGCTCTGTGCGATGCCGCGGGACGCTGTGACCCCAGGCCCGTTAGTCTGGGCTGCAGTGATGTGTTTGTGGCCACACCTGCCAAGTTCCTTAGCAAAGAGGCCTCTGGTGTATTTGGCATTGAGGTGACTTTTGTTCCAAGGCTGTACCTCCCAGTCCTCCAAACACTGTTCTCAGTGGGGCAGTTTGTTGCAGCTGATGGATTCTGAAGCTGTGAGCCAGCAAGCACCTGACTTCTTGGGAAAAATGCTCTGTAAGGTGTAACAGGGAAAGATTTCCAGCTCCTGCAAACTTTGCAAGTGACCTTTCCACAGCCACAAGTATCATTACTCTGTGTTAGTGTTTCATGAGGAATTACAAACCCTGAACCAGCCTCTTGGAAGTATGCTCTATCCTTCTGAGGTTGGTTGGTGAGACTTTATCCTATTACTGTTCCAAACTGTGTGCATATAGCTATGAAAAGGCTTAGGGAATTGATCTGGTATGGCATGAAATTCTTCAGGCATACTCGACGAGATTCCAGCATTAGTTTTGCAGCAGATACTGCTACAATCCTTGTGTTATGTGTAAACTGTAGTTAATGTATGCACATTCCTATTCCTGTTCTGCACACAGCCCTGGGATTATATTCCATCACAGATGGGCTGCCACAGGAGATGGATGTGTGCATGGCCACTCTTCCATGCTGTTTCTAAGGGTCTGTGGCTTTCAGTGAATTGTGCTGTACTGTTGATATTGACTTCATATCATGACATAATAGTTTCTGAACTGGGTACTGGTGTGTCTGGATGTGATGCTGGGAGCTGTGGGCTGACATAGCCTTTCAGTAAGTTCTGCTTTGTGACCTGAAACAGTCTCTTCAACTCTTGCAGGGGCAGTCCTGGCATGTGGTGACTCTTGATGCACTGGGCCTTAACAGGAGGGAGTTTTGAGCTTAGCAGCTTGTGTCCAAATCCCACTGGGATGGAACAAGCAGAATGTTGGAATAAAGTATAAACCAAAAGTGCTGCTAGTTTTCCCTGTAATCAACAGCACTAACTGTGTTCTCTCTCTCTTGTTTCTTTTCTCAGAGATCACAAAGGATGTCTCTATGAAGAACCTGAACATGAAGACACTGTATGTTCGTGTTATACCCACCACAGCTGAATGTTGAGAATTCCAGTTTTATCAATAAGACCATGTAGACATCTTTTCCACAAAAAATGAAGTCCAAGGAAATTAATATGCTTTTAGATTAACATCCAAATTGTGTATGGTACTTTGAACATCTCAAGTGGCACAGAGGATGTTTTCTACCAGTGCATGTCCAATATGCTGCTCTTTGGTTTCAGATACAATGTATTTTCATTATGATATTGTAAAAGCTGTTCAGAAAGCATCAGAACTCCTTATAACCTTAGATATCTATGCAGTAATTTGCCTGAGAGAAATGGGACTAGTACCTCAGTGATGCTATTCTCTGCTTCTCCTTTGTGCAGAGGGCATCTTTTCTAAACCCTGGGTTGCCTACAAGGCTCTGTGGTACATATACACCATCCTACAATAGCTTTGACACTTATTTAAGAGTTGCCTGGATTTGTTCATTCATACTAGCTGGATATTCATGAAGCGTGTGGCTGTTGATTTAAAATACTCCCTCATTTCAGTACTTGGAACAATAAATTTGCTTAATCTCCAGACTCCTGTTTCCCTGAGTTCAGAGTACTTTGCTTCCATACAATTTCTAAGGAAGACAATGCCTAGCACACCAGATAGACTGGAGACACCTGAGATCTCACAATGTCCCTGCTGAGTGTCAGTGCCTGTTTGGGTTGTGGTGCTGACAGGTTTGTTGGGTTGGTTTGGTTAGGGGTTTGGAGGAGGGTTGTTTGCTTTGCTTTCTGATGTAAAAGCAGGTTTAGATTGAAATGAGTTTGGGGATTTTAGTTTTTATAATAGTCAATACAACTTGGCAAATGTTTTAGTGTTAACTTGTATATCTGTCGGCTAGTGAAGTCTGAGTACTACTGTGTGGTAGTGACCATACAAGAATTGTAAGTGAACCATGTCCCTGGCATTCAGCTTACATAAAATTAGCAGTATTAAAAATCTCAGTGCCTGAACCTCCTGGGCTGTTCAGTTTAATGAATGCTGGACATTGCCCTCCTCTTTCTCTGGAAGTCAGCTGCTTATCTTCATTAATGTAGTGACATGAAAATCAAATCTGTATTGTTTTGTGGGTTTCTTTGTGACATTAAAAATGTCCAGGTTTTGCCTTCTGCAAAGGTGAGATTGCTGTTCGTAAGCTGAGCAACTTTGCTCTATTATTGATGGAGAATAAATGAAGATGGTAAGTGATTGCAATGTTACCTCATTCTTAATGAGCCAATCTAAGGGAACAGCATCCCTTGCATTTGTTAAGAGTCATTTGGGATTTAGCATTTTGTGCATGTCTGTTTTTTATTTCTAAGGATGTTGTCTGCCCATGTTCCATGTAAGGTCTGGATTAGATTTTATATGTATAAATATTTATACATGTGCTTTCCAGTGAATTCAAAGCCCAGCCAAGATTTATGAATTCCCTTTGAGCTGCAAACACAAATCTTTAATGGAACCTTTTTTCTTCCTCAAATATATTTATAGCTGCTTAATGTAAAATATAATCTGTCCTTAACAGAAGAAATACTTGTTGTGACCTGAGTCCAATAATCTCATGCCTCACATGAAGTGCAGTTGAATTGAGCTTCCTGGATTTTCCTAAAGTAACTGACTGCTTTTTGCTGCAGATGAAAACTGGCCTTTCCCTGGACTTTGTACATGAGCTCTCTCTGGGCAGATGTTCTGCAGAGCAGCATGGCCAGGGATGCACTTAAAACAGATGAGGCCTTGCTGGTGAAAGTTGCAGTCAGAGGCTGAGGATATAAATGATGTATTCATGGAAGGGGAGTGAAGGAAAAATACTGCTGGTAATTCTGTATGTGCCCTATAGTTCTTCAGGATCTGTACGAGGGCAATGGGCTTTAAGACAAAGTCATAAGAGACAGCACTTTATTTTTGTAGCCCTGAAGTCAGTGGTTAGTTTGTGCCCTGGCTGCAGGAAGTTGCTGTGTGAGCATAACCAGCCAGTGCCTACTGCTCGGGCAGTGTGCGTGGGATCATGGCATTGACACTGTACTCACAGAGCAGCCTCAAACCTGGAGGGAAGGAAGCTGTGATGTCAAGAAAATGAGGTGATGATACTCTGCAAACTCAATGTGAAGCAGAATTGGTTTTTTTTTGATTGATTCTGTATCACCACAACTTCACATGCAGACAGGAGGCTGCAATAATGCTTTCCTGGGGGGTTCTGGTCTTACCACAAAAGATGAGACAAAACATGGCCAAAAAAGTAGTGGAATGTTGAACTGCTTTTACAGTCTCTGCACAGTGGAGGCACAGAGTGCACCTGGGCTATAACACCTGCACTCTGACACTGCCTTAGTGGAAGGGACCCTGCCTGCCTGCTGCTTTGTGTTTGAACAGATGTACATCTGCACTTGTCTTAATGTCACCAACCTGCTTGTCTTTCATTTTACTGCCACAGAGATCCATACTGGTATTGCTTGAGCTGGGGGGAAGTGGTGCCACACTTTGAACAGCATAGGAAAGTATTTCTGTTGCAAACAGGGAATGATGAAAGTCTCATCCCAGGTGGCAGTGGCACAAAGGATTGTCTGTCAGAAACACAGAACTGTTTCTTGCCAAGCAGTGTGTTCAGCCAGGCCTAAACCTGTCCTAAGAGATGTTGACCCCACAGATCCTTCAGAGAGGTCTGTTTCTTTTTTCCAAATGAGGAGGAACTTTTCCAGTAGTTGTGCTGTGTAGGGCACATGGTGTGAACTACTACTGTCACTGTCAGTTGGCTCTGATCTCTTACCTGCAGAGCACACTGGCAGTGAGCATTGGGAACAAGTGGTGACCCATTTGGGTGAACTTGTGCTTTTTCTACCTTCCCTCTCCACATCCATTTTTAGTATTCTTTCTTTGTTATTCTGGATAAAATCTAATCATTGCTAGAGAGGATTTGTCTCTTGGGATCTTGAAGTGGGGAACGTTTCCTAATAATTCTTTTATTGAGGTTTCTTAATGCACTTCTATAACATTATGTAGGTTGGGCTAATAATAGTCTCTTTTCTGGATGTGATACTCCTCAGGATTTATGTACTTCAATTAGTTTCCCTGTTAAATAGCTTGTTATACAAATGAGGTCCCAGACCACCTCTCTGCATAAACCACTGCTGAGGCACTCAGAGCTGTGTTACACCATTTGCTGTACCTGTAGGAGTTTGTACCCTTGGAAGTAACTTCCAGAAAGAAGGTTTTAAGGAGAGAAAAAACAAATGGATTTCTCCTCCTGCTATGAGTCGAGTCCCAGCTGATCAGCCTTTTTGCCACTCAGAATCTTTGTTTTCAGACCACCTCTCTGCATAAACCACTGCTGAGGCACTCAGAGCTGTGTTACACCATTTGCTGTACCTGTAGGAGTTTGTACCCTTGGAAGTAACTTCCAGAAAGAAGGTTTTAAGGAGAGAAAAAACAAATGGATTTCTCCTCCTGCTATGAGTCGAGTCCCAGCTGATCAGCCTTTTTGCCACTCAGAATCTTTGTTTTCTCAGAGGTGGA